TCAAGTATTGAGTGTATCCTTTCAAATTGATTTTGAAACTTTAGCTGATTTTTATAGCAAAGCAAGATTACGCAGTTCTCTTTCAATTTTTACGATGTATCCCTTCTTGTGCAGGCATCCCGCGTTTAATATATTTAATACAGTGATTGCACACAGTTATTTCTACTTCTTGTTTCCCTTTATATTAGCTAGATTTTTGCTAGTTGGTACGTAATAGGTGGAAGAATTTCCTCCTTGCAAGGCCTGAAGAATAACTGAAGGTTCTTATGCTGCGGACAAACTAAGTCTCCTAAAGTGAACAAAATGATGTTTTTCCCCTAGACTGGTCCATAGGCTCGGGCAGTGGGTCTACAGCCTACTTTATGAGACAGATGTGTTACTTCTGGATGGAGCATCCTGCTTTCCAGAACCTGCCCACAGATGATTTCCAAACGGAAAAAGCTTTATCCATAGTGTTTATATCTTAATTGCCAAATGTTGACATCCACGTGGAATTGGTAGAATGTTTGTGAGTAATGTCTAGATAGTGAAAGTGAACTCACTTCATCTGATCTGTAAACAGAGTATTTGTAAAAGTCTTAGGCAGGCATCTTTTTAGGCAGGAATGGTTCTCCACATTTGCCAATAGAGTAATTCGTAACAGTTCGTTTCTGTGTTCTTGCTTGCTTTTGTAACGTAGATTCCATATACACCGAAGGATAACAGTCCTTTCTTTTTTTGCAAGATATGCAAAACTCAGATCAGCAGCACTCTTGTTTCTGAGAGTCTTCAGGCCAAAGCGTTGTGTTCAAAGAACGCTCAACAGTGGGAAAAATAGTGCCCAGGTGTCCCACTGGGCTAGAGATGCGCAGGGCTCTGAGGTGTAAGAGTACGGCGGAAATGGCTACAATGGCCTCAGCTGTCTGTAGGAGAAAGTATATGCGTGTGGATTTTAGAGTCGAGTTCATTTGTTTTGGGGTTTTTTCTTGGAGGAAAAATAGAGTTTTTCTCTTTTTTATTTTTGTAAAATATAAGTCCTTTGTGTTGTA